GACTAAAACAACATTATAATTTGTATCAATCATTATTATGTAGTTTTTAGAATAGATAGACTGTGGTTAGTATCGGAATCCAAGAAACATATTTCGTTTTAATTTAGATTTGTCAGCCAGATACTTTTTAGTATGATATTCACGATGAGACTCCAACAGAATGATTACATCGGAATAACATGAACATGATCCACATATGACAGTTAAAACTCATATCTGAAGGCTAGCTACAGGGTAATCCAAATCCTAAATAATAATGATATAAATATCGTATCCATTCGAACTTAATGGATTGGTGGGCAGAGTGTTGACATTTAAAGAGAAAGCTATTATGCTTCAGTTCCAAAGTGAACATCAACACAAGGATCCAAGACCATCCAGTTAACGAGCCCCAAATAAGACATAACCCATTTTCTGGATTCTACTGATAGCCATAATCGACTTATTTTAAAAGAATAGTATCATCGAGATAATTCGCTCATGATGCAAATATTTCATGTAGGACGGATAAAAACTGAGTTATAAATATCCATTATGGCAAAAACCTGACTATTTCCTGATAATGATGTAAATAATAACAAATTTCTTATCTGAAAACTCTGTAATAATTCATCAGAAATCAAATCCATTAAATTGTAATATTTTTTGATCGAGATCATGAATCGATTGATATTAGACCACCATTGAAAACCTGGAAGCACTGGACAGCCGTTTCGTTCTATTTTGGGACTCTTCAGCAGTGCGCATATGCCCACTAGTGACTAGCTTCGTGAGAAAATTCTCAGAGTTCTGGTGAGAAGCCATGACCAGTGGAGCTAATCCGTATCGGGTAGAGACAGGTATCTACCTCAGTACAACGGAAGATGGTCGCGCAATTTCGTGGATTGGTTGATGTTAGACATTAACATCATTGGATGCCGGCTCAGTGGTCCAGTAGGTTAAGTGTTCACGCGCAAGACTGAAGACCCTGAGTTCGAATCCCATGATCGGGCTCGTGGATGCGCACTGTTGGGGAGTCCCACAATAGGACGAAGAGGCCGAGGTTTCCAACGGTGATCTGACATCAATTGGTTCATGATCTCAATAAAAAAACAATCTCCACAATACGTAAATTAAAATTTGTAATATGTTTACCAACTTTATCAAGCTGGGTTTTTTTCTCTTCACTTTCATAAAATCATTCAAATGAACTAAATGTGGAATAAAGATACAATGCATAAAAAAAGTTAGAAAAAAATGGAAATAATTCTAATTTCCAACTAATTTTCTATTTATTTTTTAAGGTCATATAAATAAATCTAAACAATTTGATGCATTTAGCACAAAACACGAAATTGGATAACAACTACATTTAATGATTTATTATTAATGACAAAATCAATTTCATGAATTCATTATATGGTTAACAAACTGTTTAACTATTTACCTTATTTTGCTAAAAATATTGATTATCATCTATGAATAATTCCTAGGCTAAATTTATTTCCTTTGATAATGTTTAGAAAAACAAATCTAAGTTATATGCTTAATACCCCAAGTAAATGATTGATACGATTTTATACTTATCTCCAATTAGCTAACATTGAATACATCAAATTATTAAATAATAAAGTTTCTCTGTGTGTGGAATACGTTTTTTCTCTCATGTATTAACTTGAAGTAAAGTGACTATTTCATCTGTATTTTATTAGTTATTAACTTGAATTATTCATAGTGCAACTACAATGTTCTAAAATAGGGATTTCTGATGACAAATGTTATTTATAACACATGTTGGATGTATGAAAATCTTCTTAAAGCTTATTATATGATGTGAAGGAATAAAATGTATTCACTTTCTTGAATACATGTGCGATGTTAATATTTAGCACTCAAGAGAACTATTTGAGCGTTATACACATATACATATATATATGTTTTTATATTACAGGACTTGTTAATAAAATCTAACAATCATAAAGTAAATGCTTAATATGCAAAATGTCCACCAATTGTCTTAAAATGACCCAGACATCATTGTTTTTGTATTTTCATACAAATTGCATTCTGTTTCCATTCTTTGCTGTTCAATCCTCTTGCCTCTCTGTTGCCAGACATTCTGTCCACGACTAACGTCATATACTACTTATGTTGATATAAGTAGCACACACCACAACAGTATTATGATTGATAATGTATTATTGTATGAATTTCACTTTTATTGATTTCATTCATTTCTTTTGAATATTTTGATAACATTATGTTCATCCCTATGTTACACATTCTGACAGCTTCTGTACTTCGATCGAAAATGATAAGTAAATTTAAACCAGAACCTGAATCAATGGTGAGGTGGTGGATTAAATTACGTTTTTATTTTTTTTTATAAAAAAAAACAGAGAATTAAATTTGACATTTTTGAAGTTTAATAATCACTGAGATACTATTAATTACCCATTAGACAAATATTTTATTTAAAGGGACTTTAATGTATCTTTTCAAATCAGTATTATCAAGATTGTTCTATGTATGCAGTAATATATAATGATACTTGATATTATCTGTTTGATTGAAATGATTCTAGAAAACTGTATTAGTATTTTGTAAAGTAAATGATCTCAGTATAATTAAATAAAATATCTTGGTTCATTCATTTTTAAAAACAGATATGTATAATCACATTAAATAAAATAGAATAAATTATTATGAAAAGAAGTAAATTGCGTGAAAGATATTCTTCCATTTTTTGGTCAAACTAGTCAACTTTACGCTCATATATATATATATATATATATGGATTATTGTTTTCTGTTTAGCGTTTTTCAGCGATTCAATTTCCTACAGGATGGGGTTGCTAACTTCATACTCAATACTTTATCTGGGCTTGGGGCCGGTAGTAGCCCCAGAGAGGCTCCAGGCAGAGTTATAAATCTATAACTTCAGTAGATAAAATGTCATTTACTGTGAAGTAGTGTTAATTTGTTAAATATAAAGTATAGTTGGGGTAGTAAATCTTAGGATATGTCTAATAAAATAATAAATGACTAGTAATTATTGAGTACGTATCATGTAGGAATTCAAACTTTATACTTTATGAACATGACGATGATAAACGTTTATGCTGATTTTTGATAGTTTTTGGCAAAACTTAAAAGGTCTAACATTAAACAGTGATTCTCCATGCACTTGAATTCAACAAAACGTCTATGATATATGGAATTTCAAGCAAATTTCTTTCTGTTGTCTAAATGTATGTGTGTACTCACTTTCAACATGTATAATAGCTTATCTGTGATAAACTGATGTCTTTGATAGTGATGAATTCGCTAATTCTGACGGATGAAATTCCATGACAAGATTGCTGATTCATTTGTTTACGTTTCAACTAAAAATAATCTTAAAAAAAAACAGAAAAATAATTTGTTCACGTTAAAAAGAACTTATTCACATACAATTATCATGTATTATCATTTAACATGAAATAACGATCAATTACTGTATTCAGATCCATCCAATCAGGATTCAAGAAGCATTTTTATGTACTTTTTGATAACTACATTTCAAAGTTGAAGGGTTTCTTACAACGTTTTTTAAGTATTAGATAACCTTAATTGACAATGAACTCGAAAGAATATGAATGATAAACATATGCTCTAGTAATAGCATTTTTAGTAATTGTACTCTATTTTTAAGTAAAATATTAATTTTTATCACTGTATGTTTTGTTCATAGCAAGTAGTTAATCAGTTTTAACTTGACTTCGAATAGATTTCAGTTATCTTTAGTGATCGCTGCAATAGTCCAACTGCTATTGTGTAAGTATGGATATGGTTATATAATTAAAAAGTTTTGTTAGGTTTGACCTAATCAAAAGATCATTACTTTACACGTTTTCCATACCTACCTTCATTAGGCTACTGACCTTCACAATATTAGTTCGACCCGTCATATGACTGCTAAGTTTCTTGATTTATATATCTAGATAGTTAATATTCCATGCTTTTAAAATTTACTAGTTAATGGCAAGTAAAGTATATGATTTAAACAGATAAATAGAATCTTACATCATGATCAAGTAACTGTGGTCCTAAAGGAATTATTAGGTATTGTTTGAAACCTTAGTTATTTCATTCACCAAACAGGGATGCAAATTGAACTTTAATACAATCAAATAACACAAATAGTATGATACGCATAGATTTGTTCAATGAACTACGTGATGAAATAATTATGTTGGAGATGAGTTATAATACTTAATGGGTTAAAACTGATGAATTACAAACCGGATACTCAATCAATAAGAGTCAACTGACCTTGAATATGAATTATGTTTTCGTAGTTTACTCAGATGTCTTTCATTATAACATTAAAAATATGGGGTTTGTGGAGGTTATTAAATTCTGTTGATACCTAAGTGAGACAACTACTTGAAACCAGTAAGCATTGGACTTCGTTTCGTTGTATCATGAGACTCCACACCATTGTGCGTCCAATATCTCACCACAGGTAATCGAACCAAATACCTTTGGTCCGATATGTGAGTGCTTAACATCTAGACTGCTGAACCAGTATCTAGCAGTGTAGATGTTTAACTTTAATCAATTTTTATGATTATACATGACCATTTCATACCTGCCCCGCACTCGACAGGGTTAAACCCCTCTGGTCAACGATTTTAACTAGAACTCCGAAAACTCACTCTCAAAGTTAGTCATCAGTGAGTACATGATAACCAACAGTATAAGAGACTAAACAGTTATCCAATGATTTCACTTTTCAAATAGTTGTTTAACCGAATTTGTTTTAAATTAATATATATATATATATATATATATATATTGTATTAAAATAAAATTTTATTATAATTTTCTTTTCTAACATATATAATCTTTTTAATCTTTTATTCACATGTTTGATATTCAAAATATATTTGCCCATTCATTGGTAATATGTTTATACAAAAATATATCTACATTCATAATTGAATATACTAACAAATGTACCCAATCAATAATTTACAGTCAGCTAAACAATATATGGAAACACATGGAACAGGAATGGGTAAGAATTTATTGATTATGCAAATGAGATAATATTACTGAATTTTGTTTTCTTAACACTGAACGTTTTCTTCTTAATATCTATTCAACTGACTAACTGTTTGATTTATACAATGAATTATCATTAAATGATTATTATCACAGTCATTGATTTGTTTCATTTTATCTATCAGGTTATTTTTTTTATAAATGTAATTTCTTTCAGTGTAAACAAATTCAAGTGTGTGTTTGTTTTTGTCATTTAAAGTGGATAAAATGAAAAGCTCAAATTTATATGTATATACTGTCTTAGCGAGTGATTATAGAAATTTCTGTTACTTATTCTCAAGTGTATTTATATAAATATGAATGCTTCAAATGGATTAAAACTGCTCATTTGTATTTAATTTTTACAACGTAAAATACATACGTCATATAGCTTTTTGTTTCGTTGAAAAGATATTTATTATCTACTAGAAACAATCAACTGAAATCTATTGCTGTTTGGAGTTAGTTTGATAATACTTATTTTGACAAATCGTAGTACCTTACAACAAAGTTGAATCCAGTATTGCGATGAGATAGTGGTTGGAGGTAGTCGACAAAGAAACGCTGAACCAAGGTTTAATGCTATTTGGTGCTCAACAGCAAGATGTGTTTGTTATCTTGAGAAAATTGATGCTTCCTGATAAATAAATTATGAAGACAGCTCAATCCTTCAGAATGTTAATCGAGGCCCGATAAAGTCATTAACTGTGAAGATGGGTGACACGTGATCGAATCCTTCAAAGAGCATCAGTTCCCTCAAGATTATATGTACGCCTTGCTAACGAGTACTTTATAGCACTAAACCTAGACTCAGGGTTTTATATCGACTATCTTCAATCACTATCTCATGTCAACATAGTGCACGAGAAATTGAGTCACCTAGACCAGTGGCCACATCTCAACTTGGTCGATAGAATTCGATCTGTACTAAGAAAAACTTGGTACACATGACATTGGTCATCACCCAGTGATCCAGTATTAGTTAAGAAGCTAACCATCAAATATATTTATAGTTGAAGATTGATTGTATTTTACTCTTTTAATTATTCACACTTATGATTTAATTTGTTGGTGCTCTATTATTATCAATGAATACTCATCCTTGATTCTGACTTCCCTAGCATCACTTTTACCTACCAAAATAAAGTTTAGTAATACTCTTGGTACTTGTTGGTTTAGGTTCAAACTATAATGTTTCAGTATAGAACTTGACTGATTTGCCAAAAATGTTACATTTTAACTACTTCCTAAATTTCCCCATCTTAGATTTATTATATAACCGGAGACGATTTAGGATTCAAACAAGTCATTATGTAGAATGAGCTTAAGTATTCCTCATTTTATAATATCATTTAGTTGAAATATTTAATATGGACTTTCTATTCTAAACTAAGGAAATAAAAACTTATTGACTTGTAATAAAAGATTTTTTGATAATGATGGTCCTGTAACAAGACTAAAAGGTTGTATATTCTGATCTAAAAGTAGTTTATATTGTGTACTATTAATAAGTTCTGGTTTTTTACATGTAAACATTAACTGAAAGCTGTCCAAATTAAGTAGCAATGGTAATACTATCAACTTTTCGGAAATGTCCATCTTTAAACATAAATTGGAATTTTTCAATATATAGCAGTAACCAAAAGTGGAATATCTGCCAGTAGAAGATTGAATTGAAGAGAACAGGAAAGGAAACAGAAAGCAATTGTAATAACAACAGAATCAAAAGAATCATGAAGCATACAAAGGACGAATAAACGAAGATGTACAAATAATGTATTCAATGCATGGTTTTCATATTGTACGAATGCACTCTATAATTTTGCATTAAACCATAAATTTGTTATCCTCACCAAGTCTTCGTTCACTACATATATATATCATAAAAACTTTTTTAAATATGTTGAGGACATATAAAAAACAGAATATTCAGAAAGAGATATAATCATTAAAAAGATATCAGTAGTTTTAACTAGATACATTATTAAATGAAGTCGTTATTTGAATACCATCAGATCAACTTTGATTATATCAATGAAATTTCAGCTTTGTTTTATTTCTCTCCTAATGTTTAGTCATTTCCATACGATTGAAAATATGTCACTCTTCTTATTAATAAACTATGTTATAGTTAAGAACTATTTTTTCTAACATTGTATTTATAGGTGAATCAGAAACTTATGCTATATTATTTCAACATACACCTTGTTATGATCTGGTTCCAGATAGTGCAAAACTTATTTTATTGGATAGTCAATTAACTGTAAGTTGATGTTATCTATACTTTTGTTTATGTTAATACACAACTTAATAGTTGAATTCATGAGTCAATTAAAGCTAGACCACTATGGAAAACCTAAAAGTACTAAACAGTGGAGTAATTTTGTCGATTGGTTGAAATTAGACATTAACACCATTGGTTGTCAACTCAGTAGCCTAGAGGTTAAGCGTTTGCGCTCTAGACCGATAGGTTATGGGTTCTAATCCCGCCAACGGGATCATGGATGTGCCCTGCTGAAAAGTCCAATACTAGGACGAAACAGTCGATCAGTACTTCCAGTTTTTTCATAATGGTCTAGCTTTAATTGACTCATGAATTCAACTATTAAATTACTATAATATCCATAAAACCGCTCCCTGATTATAATACATGACTAACAATAAATGAATGAAAAGTAACTTATCAAAACTGTGTATAACAGTAATATCATTTACTTAATTGATAATACTAATACTTCTGAGGAATAATAATCAATACTTTACAATTGTTCATTTTCTAAATGAACTTTAAAATAGAGGTTTCATTTCAATTTCTTTAAGATATGAAGTAAATATCAACAATTTGTAGAGATTAATGAGTATTCTTTTGAAGACTTAAATATCTGCAATTTATGTAACTAGTACATTTTGAATAGTTGTTAATATTTCTTAGTAATGTATTGTTTATTCATCGTTTTTGATACAGCAATTGCATCATCGTATCTTCGTACATAATCCGTAATACACAGTAATTTTATTAGTTACTTTCAACTAAAATACTATGTTGAACGTAATAAACTATTCTACTGAAATCCATCAATACTTGAATAGGGATAGATTTTTATTAACTTACACAGAGTTCTTCGTCGAGGTAGGATGCAAATGTAAGTGAGTTAGAAATCAAAGTGGGAACATTCTGTTCAGTGTATGGAGTTTTAACCGACTCTAAAACTGAAATAAATCTATAATGTATGGGCTATCTCAATAACTTGTATAAATTGTCCAAAACGGATACACGAAGATATCGATCACTCTGAACTGAAATATGTCGTGAGTGGTAATAAAAGAATAGTCCAAACACTTACTAATAGTGATATAAACATGATATCCATTGAAACACTTGATGGCTACCTGTACATCCATCTGATAAGTCCCAAATAAGACGAAACATTCTTCCTTGAGTTTACTGCTAGCAACAAACTATCTATTCTAAAATAAGACTTTTTTCAAAAAAAATTCATAACTGATTCTTTTCTTTCGAAATTAAAAACATACAAATTTTAAGAACTTTGAGATTGTTTTTCATCTTGCAGTATGATATATTCTTTCTCAGCAAAGTAGGATGTTTCATTCAATCTAGTAAATTCAGGAAGGAAGCAAAAAACCAAATTAATTGCATCATTCAGTTCAGTGTTCTAGGTTTGGTATTTCTAAATTATCGATTGTTCAGCCCTAAAGTAAAATATGATAGTATTGCATATGATGCGTGTAGTTGTCGTTCAACAATAAAATGTAAAAAGATTTGGTTGTCTTTACGAAAAAACTCGCTAGCTCATAACTCATATCTAAGAAATATCCAAATGTACAGTTCACTTACCAATAATAGTCAGTAGGAATGCTTACTTACTAGAGCAGTCACAGGTGGTATATATTCTCACGAAACAAATGCAGCACACAGACTTAATATAAAAATATCATCAACCTCAATCGTTTTGAATGAATTAATAAACGAACTGGACACGTCACTTGGTCTTTATTTGTATATAGAACAAATCATCGCTCGAATAAAGCAAATGCTATTCTACTCCTTACTTGTCTGATTATCACGCTATTCGATATCACATTATTTGTTTTGATAACAATAAAGTGGAAACTTATCATACGGTCAAATTGTTTGGAATGTTTGATTAAGAGGTACATATCCTCGATAATATTTCTCACTTTTTCACATTGTATATAATGTTTGTGTATTCAATTTCTTGAAAAAACTCTTTTATTCAAAATAAGCAACGCTTATTGAACTGGAATATGAAAAAAGTAATTTGTTTGTATTCAACACTAAAGTGTACGCGTATTCAAACATAGTTAGACAAATGTTTTGAGCATATTAAATCGTCAAAAATAACAAATAAACAAGAATAATATGTAGCTAACATTGTTTTTGAATTTAAAATGATCTATGAAGATAGGATAGTGATTAATAAGACTACACTAATTCATAAGTGGAATAAAATCGAAACATGAACAAGTCATGACCCATGGAGCTAATCCGTGTCGGATAGAAACAGGTATCTACCTCAGTACAATGGAAGATGGTCGCGCAATTTCGTGGATTGGTTGATGTTAGACATTAACATCATTGAATGCCGGCTCAGTTGTCCAGTAGGTTAAATGTTCACGCGCGAGACTGAAGACCCTGTGTTCGAATCCCGTGAACGGAATCGTAGATGCGCACTGTTGGGGAGTCCCACAATCGGGAGGTTTCCAACGGTGGTTTGACATCAATCGGTTCGTGGCTGCAATCAAAAACTTAATAATCTTCACAAATCCTTTACCGAAACATAAACAAATAGATCACCACTCAGTGAATAATGTATATCGTGCTTGACGATTCAAAGTTTGATTCTGAGCAAATGTTGTACGTGTAAATTGTTTATGAACCAGATAGTATGATAAAACATTTAACCAATCGTATTTAGTTAGTAATTTGTTTGTACATGACGGTTGATTCTCAGAAAACATTAAAAATATTACAATAATTTTATTTTAATTGAATTACAAAAATTCTAAAAAAAATTAAATAATGCATATCTACATGTTATGTACATTCTGTTGTATAGGATTTGCAGTATTCTATATTAAACAATAAATTATAAACTTTTGATAAAAGTCAATAATTAAATAATTAAATTTATTTAAAATTACTATTGGGATTAAACATAAACAATGGAAAGTGTTGTTGCTACATTTAAAAATTTTGAAATACATGAATTTATATATTTCAGTCAGTCAGTCAGTCAGTAACGACGTAGAACTTCGTACGTACGTACATCAGTTCGAGTTGTCATACCACATTAGCACAGAGATGCAGTTGTCGATTCAAATCCCGTAGTGGTAGAGTTAGTAAAAGTATAAGCAGTAGTCGGAAACATTAGTGTTTGGAGATGTTATTCAAGGAGTATAATCCAGTGAAATAAATTTGGAAAGAGAAAAAGAAAAGGGGCAGAAAGAATACAGAGGATTAGAATTTGGGAGAACACAAAGAGTGGATGTGCCTGCGCTATTGCAAACGATTTTGAGCCATGTCATTCAAGGTCTGTAACCATCAGTTGCTATCATCTCGCGGTCCCCAACCAGTTAGTCTACACCCACCAACATGACTCAGTCCACTAGTCAGTGAATCCATGGACTTGTGCCATGTAACATTATGTTTATGTATAATAGTCAAATAAAACAAACAAACAAAAGCATTGGATTCTCATAGTAATTAAGTATAATTTTCTGCATAGATGAACAAATAAAAGAAGTAAATATGAACTTTTGATACTGTAACAATTTTAACCTGTTTGTATAGTTCTCAAAATGACAATCATTGTACCAAATATTTATTTGTAGTAAGATAGTGAATTAACTAAATGAAGTAAAAAATCGATTTTCCAGTATAAACACTGAAAACAATACATAATAAAAAAAATTACAAAAAGCAAAAAGGTAAAAAAAGTGTACTGCAAAAATGTATAACATTTTAAATATCCGTGCTTGGATTAAAAAGAGACTGAATCACCTAATATAGAACAAAAAACAGATTATAACAGTAATGATGGCATGACTTAATTTTCTTTGATTTGCTATTTACTGTTGATAAATATATCGTTGGCGAACTTTCCAAAGAAACTAGATTTTTTCATACAACATTAACTGATAGTAAATATTTCTGCTTATTACGGTTATACTTCACCAACAACAAACAGTTCAATGAGTTACTTTTATGGGATTCTTGTGCAAATCATACTCACTTTGGTCCTTAACTGGAGCTAGAGCACTGTATAAATTAGTAAACATTAGTTATGTATATAATCCTAATTTCAAACACCTTAGAAATGAGCCTCCTCAACGTTAAGCTAAATCAAATCCATGGCGTTTGGGTATTGTTGTGATCAATATATCATTTATTAACTTTCAATTACATTTAAAGTCATTAGTTTGTGTTATACATTTTAATATAGCAATGACGAGATGGAGTTAACCTGAAAAATATATTTGTTTTTTACATTTTGTACAATCTTTTCATAAATATACCATTCAAAGCATTACATTTTCAAATAAACTTTATCTTCTCATCGTTCTATCAAAATTCGGTTGAAACTATTATCATCAATTAACAAAGAAATAAACAGTATTTTTAACATTTATCCATAATTTTATTATTTATTAATTGTTTTATTCATTAGATAGGTAAAGCATTTAAAGCACTTATTTACAATGGTATACGTGCTGCACCAGTGTGGAATTCAAAAAATCAAAATTTTATTTCAATGCTTACTGTAACTGATTTTGTACAAATGTTAAATTATTGTTGGAATCAAACTGTACCATCGAATATTGATGAATTGAAGAATATACAAATTGATGATGTGGATCAAATAACAATACAGCAATGGAAAGGTAAGTCTATATACATGAAATATCAATTCTTTTTTAATAATGTTGAATAGAATAGAAATCTGTGAGAGTGATTACTGGCGTAAACATGTAGTGAACGAGATCTTAGGTGGAAACAGCCAATTTATTATTTAGTATAAAATTGCAAAATATCTTCGGAGAATATAGGAACCATACGTCAAATACGTCGTTTGTAAAATCTTTCATGAATTATCCTTTTCATTCTGTCTGATTCTTCCAATTTACCTTTTTTTTCTACTTCCCTTTCTGTATTCTTCAACTCGGTTTTCTTAGCCTTATGCTGCTAGCTATTTATATTTTGGTTGGTGTTACAGTTTATTTATGTTCGGCGATATATTTAGCATACGCCACAAATATATGTTAAAATGTTAGTTAGAAATAGTGAATAAATGAATAAACGTATGCATGTATATAAAGCACACGCTATCAGACTAGATAACTTTTATTGTAAATAAGAGATTGACTGATGCTGTCCAGTCCTAGTTTTAATTTTCTGTATCATTTATTGCTCAGCATGATTCATTGTGTAATAAAAGATCTTAAAATTCTTTGAGGGTTAACAGATAACGTGAATCAAATGATTTATGTCATATAATGTTAACCGTTTCTCATTAATAAAAGAGCTGATTGTGCATACTACTGTTAACTCTGAACTTGATATAAAATAACTCTCAGATGTGACCTATTTCACAATTAGTATTATAAAAGTTACGGGAGAACTATTGTGCTTAACAAAATGTATTTGTTTCTGGAACCTTATTAATATTCTTCTAGGTTTATTGTTTATCAATAATACATTTTCAATTCAGTAGTTAAAAGTATTTAATTTAAATCAGGTGTTAATAATCACTATCTAACTGTTTTTATAAACAATTAGTATTGGAAATATATTTGTTTATGTATATTGAAGGTCTTATTTGTAAAGAAATATTTATCACCTCATAATGGGTTATTATAGAAGCAAATCGCGTGCTATATCTACATGTGATAAACGTGATTTCGAAGTCATTCTTTTTATGCATATTATGCTATAAAAACTTTATGAATCTATATACACATAGCATTAGTTATGCTATTTTAACATTAAAATATTTACATATTATATCCTGAAAAAAACTAATCCTTTTTCAGTATTCGTTCTTGATACTTAGTATACTTGAGGTGTAACCTCCGTTTTTAAATTTTAATGTTATTTATCAGTATCGAGTTGTGGAGATTATTAAGTTTTACTGAAATCATGAACCCATCAATGATAATTATCACGTGTTCACTAGTGAATAAATTCAAGAGAGAATTCTTCGAATTCCGGTGTGAAGCAGTGACCAGTGGAGTTCAACTTTGTTGAGTGTTAGGCAATTGCTCAACAAAACAATGTAACATGATCGAGCAATATCGTGGATTGATTAAAGTTGGACATTACCATCATCGGATATCGGATCAGTGGTGTAGAGTTTAAGCGTTTCAGCACTTAGATCAAAGGTGCGGAATCATGGGTGCGCAGTAATGAGAAGTCACATACTAGAAGGAAATGAACGTTCAGTGCTTCCAGGTTTTGAATGACGTTCTAGGATTGATCGGCTCATGATTTCAGTTTGGAGGTATTTGTCTAACTTCATGAATAAAGTTAATTTGCGTTGTACTTAAATTCAACCATTTAAAAGACTGTTTTATTTACTTTCTTTTAACTGACGAACGAAATAGTGGATTGTTTCCTGGCAATATATCTACATAGAATGTCACTTTACAGGTTTCCTTATCGTATTAATGACTATTATGCTTCTCATATATAATATAATAATTTTTAATTACAAGAATCAAACCCAAAGTAGGCTGATATAAACAACTGGAAATGCACTGAAATCAGAATTGTAAGGCAGTGGGTATTAGCTAACTGTTTAAATCATTGATGCGCTCATCACGAGAATCAAACGTTTCAAATTTAACGTCTCATTAGGTGATATTTCGCATTTCTGTAAGATCTCATTCAAATTATGAAACAAATGCTTAGTTTTCTTTTGTTGATAATACTTTCGTAGTTAAAATCGACTCATAAAATAAACTATCATTGATTTAACTGTTCTCCATGAATTTCCTTTCTTAATTAAAACCATCATGAAGTTAAAACTCATAAATTGTACGTAAGATTTTGTTCGCACATGGAAAAATAATTATATATATATATATATATATCATCCAAAGCCCCCAAATGTCCTGGTACGGCCGAAAGTGGGGCGAGTCAGCACTCTGTCGAAATGCGCTCACATGGCCATGTGCATACAACCACTTCCAGGAAAGTTTTACTCACTGCCATCTCATGGCGGGAGTGTTGTTCACGAAATTGAGAGGACGAAAAATGAATGTCCGGCGCTTTAACCGGGTCGTTGGATATGAATGATCCACCTAGGAGAGTTGGAAAACCCTGATTCCAAACCACTGGTGAACATGGGCTCCAGGATCCTGAAGGAACAAATGGCGTATGAACCTATCGTTCGTCACCGGCTACCATGAGACTGCATCTAATAACGTTGTTCCACTGCCTTGTGTTTTAGATCTTTAGATCGAGGGCTCCGGGTGTGGTCTTCTAGGGAGACCACCTGCCTCTGTTTGGGCATCTGGACAGTATCCCATCCCTCACACAAATCGAATGATTTATGTGGCGCATATCTATTTGGTGCCTTTTTGTATTAATGTTTATGCTTTTAAGTAAATAAATAAATATATCACCCAATAATTAATTCCCCAAGTATATAATATTTTTGTTCAATTTAGTGTTTGTACAAGGAAACTGATTCAGATTCCAGAAACTTCTCTGATCATAACAATTCAAAACCATTTTATGACTGAATTTATAAATTTCCTTTATATATTTGTTTATAGTAGAGACAGTAATGGAATAGTGAATCAGAATTGCTGTAATTTTAAAAATTGCATTTACCAACTAATAAAGCCTAAAAATGTAACCGCAGAACGTATGTAGATAAATTTAGGCAAATCAAATGATAAAAATTTTTTTTGGATAGATTGGCTGTTGAATGAATTTTTAAAGATGTTATAAATTCATACATTTATCAAATCAGACAGTCTACACGAGTCTATTATCTTCCAAACGATATATATATATATATATATAATGTTAGAGTTAATAGGGGTTTTGTTTATTTTACATAACGCCATATACAAACAAATGAGATTATCACTAAGTAAAATTGCTGATATAATATGAAAATAAGTGATTGTGTAAATCCTTTTCTCAGTACATGGTTATGGAGATTGTTGCGTTTTTGATTGAGATCATGAATTGATCGATGTTACACCACCAGTGAAAACCTGAAAGTACTGGACGGCCGTTTCGTTCCAACATGGGACTCTTCAGCAGTGTGCACTCACGAACCCGCTTGTGGGATTCAAACCCAAGACCTTCGGTCTTGCGCGCGAACGCTTAACCTCTGAACCACTGAGCTAGCATACATCAACCGTTCAGTGCCTCCAGGTTTTCAATGATGGTGTAACATCGATCGATTCATGATCTAAATCATTTAAGTTAACTAACAATATTTTTGAGATAATATTAAAGTATATTACTAGAAATTATAAAATATAGTTTGTTTGAAACCTCTGGTATAGTATTTGCTAATTAGGATTATCATCATTAATTACAATACTTGCAGTTTCATCAAGAAACATTACTCAATCTACAGTGTTATGCATAAACATCGCCTGTCCTTAACCAGTTCAAATCTTATTATTGATTAACACATTTATATTACACAAGTTGAAATCATGAGTCAATTGAAGCTAGACCACCATGGAAAGCCCGGAAGCACTGGACGGCCGTTTCGTCTTGGTACGGGACTCCTCAACAGTGCGCACTCACGATCCCGCACCTCACGGGATTCGAACCCAGGACCTACTGGTTTCGCGCGCGAGAACTAAGCCATTAGACCACTGAGCAGACATCCAATGGTGTTAATGTCTAACCTCAACCAATCGCCATTTATATTAGTTTTGGTCTTCATAAGATAATAGAAATTAATTATTTACATACAAAACGAATATAAAATGCAAAAAAACTTTAACCAACTATCGGTTTGTATGAGTGATAATAGTTAAACGAATAATCCTATAATTAGTTATTCACTCATTAATACTTTTTCAAGGCCATCCATGAGCGTTTATTTAAAATGGAAAATTTCAAATTAATTTTATATTAATCATTGAAGTTAAAATGTCTGGGAACATATATATATATATATATATATATTTAAATAATATTTTTTAGATATGCTCATAGCTGACAGGACACATCGTTTATCATTACAAATTACATCGTCTACTGGTAAAAATGTGGAAAAATCAATGAATAAACCGCATACTAGTGTTAATTGTACAACATCTTGGCCACCGTCAATCAATACATCGTCGTCGTCATCAAGTTCACGGTTAGCATCTAGTAATGGCGACAGCGATAGTAATAGCGGTAGTAGTAATGACAGTGGGAGTGATAGCAGTAGTAGTAGTAGTATTAGTAGTAGTGGTAGTAGGAGAAGCATCAGCAGTCGTTCTAGTACAAAGTCATTATCGTCGGACCTTCCAGTAATACAATTATCATCTACCATATCAAATCAAAATTTGTCAGACAATACAGTGAAATGCACATTGGATGATAATGAAAACAATGTTGGCGATGTGGAAATGAGAAGTCAAATTGATAACACTTCTATCAATAAAAACAACCAAACACTATGTTTTCTAAGTAAACCAACACAGAATATTTTTCCTGTACGTTTACTTATCTGTGATCCAGAAGAATCTATTTTTAAAGCTTTACGATTATTGTTAAGATTTCGGTTACATCATTTGCCAATTATGGATTCGCCTTTCGATGGATGTGGTAATATATTGTATGTACTTACTCAACGTAAACTATTGACGTATATGTTTGAAAAATTGAATAAATTACCTCAACCAAGATTTTTACAAGTAAGTTATCATTTTAATACAAGTGTTTTTTTAATTCCTAAAGTTTAATTTCAGTAATAAAGCATAATTTCTAACCAATCAAAAGTTAGTAACTGAAACTCTAAAGTGTAACAATGTGGGTTCAAATTCAACCACGTCCCAAATAGATCTTCATTGACTAAGACTGAAAATTGCAGAATTTAGATAAGTGGCAACTTAATCAATAGTTAACAAAATACACTTACCATTTAAGTTTCCTTTCTTATCCCCCAAATAACTTAATTTTAAAAGTTGGTTACAGAACATAAAGCATACGGATTAAAAACTATATTGCTTACCAACTAATCAGTTCATGCAAATGTTATAACTTGTGGCCTTGTGCCCTATTAATATATATAACGTAATGATACCGCCAATTAGAGAACAGTGAATTATCGACCGAACCAATGACTCATAAAACCTGTACGAGCAGTCTTGAGTCCTTATCGGTCCTTCTTCCTGCCTAGCCCTGACTTAAATATAGAACAACGATCTCAGCCTCTGCTATAAGAATCATGTATTTCAAACATACTAGGTTTATATACAAACCCAACAGACCACATTGTACCATAAAGTATAAAATAACATTTGTACAAGATCTAGACAAAAATGGCTGTAAATGTGGGAGATAGTAATTAATAGACTGGGCATAAGTGAAGAACAGCAAGTCGTATAATAATAGTCTGTGGGTCAAAGTAAGGCTTGTAATAATAGAAGTATAGATGTATACAATCCAGTTACTGAATGGTTATACATTAAGAATATACGTATAATATTTGTCCATAAATAGTTCTCAAAAGTTACCATCCATAATTCTTGCCGGAATATAACATTTAATTTCGTTCCTTTTTACACTAAAGCTAAATGTCAATAATCATGATATCTTTCAATGAAATCAAGCATAGTTCTTTGAAAATAGACTTTGAGAATTACTGCCACTTGTTATTTTCTTCTAGTTAGTTGAGAGTTAACCCATAAACACATATCTTATTAATTAAGGTAGTTAACTGATGAATAGTTGAAAGCAAAGAACGGTTTCTTGTATATTATTATTCATTCTAAATAAAAAGTTAGTTATTAGATGTATTGATGCAGTAAAGTAATCTTTTGACACAACGTTCAAACGTAAATATACAAATAAAGACAGCCTAATCTAGAGGAAAGAATAGACTACTAGTTTGTATTCATTCATGGTTTGAATAGTTTCCTGTTTGTTTACTGAAGCGTGAAGATTGTTTTAATAGCGATCAATTTTCTGTTAAATACTTACACTTGATTATTCTACTACTAAATTCTCATGCATTAATCAATCAATTAAAACTCTCCTAACATTAATTGAACTTTTTGAACATTTACCCAGTTTATAAATGAAGTTTAGCGAGGTTAATTACCTAAACAATATGTAATCACAAAACGTGACTATTTTAGTAGGATTTTTTGCCATAAAATATGCTCAAATGACAATTTAAAATAACTATTCCATATTTACAAAGTCGCTATGTGTATGCAAAGACTACTTATTGATAGCTGATTATTCATAGACATACATAGACATTCATACATTTTCAAAAACGTTCAACTAACTAAGAAGTACATGTTTTAGGAATACACTCTTTTTTTCGGGAAGAACACTGTATCTTTGCCTAACTGTATTTGATCAACATATTGATGGTTTGGTTGTCAAGTGTATTTTGACGCTATTGCTTCTTTTTCACTTCATAGATCAGCTATGAGGCTTCCATAACCTTTTGTTAGAATATCATCAACATAAATGTTTCCACCATCACAAAATCAAGTGTATGCCTATCACTAACAAATTAAAAAACGTGCTACTGCTCCAACTCTGGTGTATGCAAACAGTCAATGCTTCACGGGTACATTTCAATTCATAAGAAAAAAGCACATGTAATATGTATTATGTAATGAAATTCAAAAATTTTCTCATTTTGTGACAGCGGTTCTTCCGAAAAACGAAATGGATTACACAAAGCAATAAACTATTAAACAGTAAAGAGAATTTTGTTAGTTAAACATGAATAAAACTGAAACATAAATATCACATTCTATCCACATCACTAAAGATTAAGTAGGATATACGTTTAACATCTATAGGGGTCTGATAAAGAGATTTAAGATATTAACCATAAATGCATGATTCACTATTTATGTATATTTGTCACACAGACTTTATGGATTTGAATCAGCTGGAGACATGGTCTAGATAGGTGATAAAGAAAAAAATTCACTTTTATATTACTTAGTACAATGTAACATTTTATTAGATGTCCTAGCTACCTATCGTTACTTATGATTCATAGAATATATTTCAAGTCTTTTTGTCCACTTAGATTAAACAATGAAGTGTGACAATGAATAATTGATCTTCATTGTTGCTATCCTTTTAGTAAATGTTAATTCGAAGTGAATTTCCACTTCCATCTTAGATTATAATTTTTTAAACTTAAAAGCTCAATAATTAACCATTTAATACATCTGAAAGAAAATGTTTAGATAGTGTTGGTTACATTTATTAACTCCGTAACTGTTTTAGGGTTCACAGTCACAACTTTTTTCTAATAGTGGAATAATTTGTAATGGTGTATAACACATTATTATGTTAGATGGGCAAACGCGAACAAGTTAATTTAAGCAGTCACTGCGTTTATGACTAAACCATGTCAAGAGGTTCAAATTTCCAGTTGGTAATTCAGGATGATCATAACCGATGAACGAATATGTTGAGTGATATAACTGAACGTTAACTATGGTATCACAGTTTTGTCCATTCTGTGTTTCTCTAGCTCTTATATTCGAACTATTATTTCATAGAGATCATGAATCAATCAATTATAGAACACCAAAACCTGGGAGCATCCAACGTCCGTTTTCATCCAGTACGGGACTTCTCAACAGTGCGCACACACTCGAGAATAAAACTCAATACCTTTGATCTAAATGCAAAAACGCCTAAACTCTTCACCACTGATCCGGTATCCAATGATGTCAATGTATAACTTTAATCAATCCACGATACTGTGCAATCATGTTGGATTGCTTTTGTTGAATAATTGCCTAACACTCAACAGAGTTGAACTCCATTGATCACGGTTTCACACCAGAATTCGGAGAATTCCCTCTCGAAGTTATTCAACAGTGAAAGCATGATGATATCTTTTTTTTATTTTTATTTCATTTGTTCTTGTCGAACTGTTCTTCTAGTTCAATGTTTTACTATCATTTATACTCTTTTCACTTTTTTCTTATTAATTTCTCCTCATTACGATAATATGAATTGTAGGAACTGTGATTGACAGATAGTTTTGAACATAATTCATAATTTTATAGAAAACCGATTGAAATCACCATGTCAATACCCACTAAAATCTCCACAAGTTGTAATAGAATGTAACTAATTATGTTGTCACATAAATGTAAATGATCTAATAAATGTTTAGGGTTTTTCCTCACTATTTTTTAAATCTCAACCGAAATAATAAATTAAAAAAGAATTGAAGCTGATTAAATAACTGTATTAGAGTTCATGATAACATATTTTACATTACCTCATGACAAAAAAAACTTTCTCAGTAAACGAATTTTTAGTGAGACTATAATTTATGGACGACCTTTGGGCGACACTGAAGTGACCTTGGGAATGTCCACCTTCTTTCTAGGGCTAAATGATGGTTATAAAACAGTTTGAAGAATAAGGATTATGATTTACAGTTGATGGTTAGGGTTAGGAATTAGATTTATGGTTTTCATCTCGAACTGACATCAGCTAAAATGAATTTCGCTCCAAAATCCGAGACCTATCATCCTAAATCTGATTAGTTCGTCCATAAATTATCGTCACACCGAATTTTGTTTTTAGATATTTATAAAAGTTGATTGAATTTCTGTATTATTTCCTTCTTTCTTTTTTAATTTAGTCAAGTTTAACAGATTTGAATATTGGAACGCATGGATTCATTTTATTGGTTACACCATCTACTCGTCTAGCTGATGCACTTTTATTATTTCGAGAGAATTGTGTAACTGCTTTACCAGTTGTAGATTCAATAACTAATCGTCGTTTAGTTAATATATTTTCAAAATTTGATGTATTCGTAAGTGTAACTTATTGATTTACTTTTTATGTGTTTAAACTTTACTGTTATAATGTTAACAGTAAATTTAATCTCCACATTAGTATACAGATTACCAGTGCCAGTAAAGAAATATACAATTTTAGAGAACGATGACTTATTTTGTACACGACTGCGATGAATCAATCAATCTTTGTAAAATTATTTTACTTTTTACACACATTTTAAGCTTATGAACTTCCGATTTGGAGAGTGTATCATAGATTACTTAATACAGTCTTTATCAGGATTAGATCTTGTTATGGTCTATAGATATATTCTTTTTATTGTTAAGAAATGTGGATGAACTTGTTTTACTCCAATGAATGAAATCCTAACAATTAATTAAAACCACTTAATAGACTTTGTTTATTCTGATTATACATAATCTTCCGGTGTGAAAATTATTAATACATTTAGATAAATATTATGAGCAACAACAAGCGGATAAGATTAAGTTAAAGAACAAAGTCATAGTTTAAATGAATAAAAACTTCACCAGATCCTTACTAGGTAGAGTTCTGGGAACATGAACAAAACGACTAAATACTTAGTCTACTTGGATCACTAAATGTGCAACAGCATACGTGTCATAAACCAGATGTTAATTCGTATCTGAAGAGATTTACTGATCACAATCCTGTATTACTATTTTACCCCGACTGTGCAATTTTGGCTGTTGTCTAGTATCTTAAGCTTTAACTAATTATATGTTTCCATTGGCAAAGTTAACTTCAAGTTCGGCTGACAAGAATCTCTGAAGCTAAAGAATGGGAACGAAATAATCAGATTCCAGATCGTGATTCTCAAATCTGTTCCCAAAATTCATTCATCCATATGGCTAAATAGGATTCATGAATTATAGCTGTTGTTAGCTCGAGAAGATAAACATAACCCTAATTTCTTATGTTGATTCCTTGCCTCAGCTTCTGATTTTATTCCGACACTAATTCCAGACACTTTTGAATAGGATATGTGGTTGAGATTTCTAAGTCATTTTTATAAATTCCTAAAGCCGTCCCCATAATTAAGTTCCACTAATAAATTTTAACACTTATTGAACCAAAAAGTATGCCCTACTTCAATTACGGTCTTCAATCAGAAAATAGAATACAGCAGGCAGGAGTGCATTAGTATTTATTATGTAAATCAATTTGTACAACAATATAGACTAATTTTCTGGTTTGACATTAATATGAATATGAAATGACCATTTAAGCATAACTACGCCAAAATGGAAGAAAACAGAATTAAATGGTTAATGATCAATTAGTTATCACTGAGGCAAGGTAAAACGTACGGTACTAGTTAACGAGTCTAATGGAAGTCTATCATAAGAATAATCCATAAATGTAATAATGCAATTATTGAATAATTATACAATAAAAATATAGATAATAATAAACTATGAATTAGTCTTGGAAGATATACTTTTTTCGATATTTGCTCATCTACAGCAAAATGATAAAAAAAGAAACTTGTTAGCGTCACACGGAAATTCCAATTTCTCTAGCAAACATTTGCCATTTTGATTCCTTAACATTGACATGAGAAGAGAAAAATCAGCACGTAATGTAATGAAATAATCTAAAACGATTTATGAAAGTGATCACATGATTATCAGTAACTAGTATATATATGTAAAATAATAAAATAGTTCATTGGTAAAGCCTAATTCCTGAAACTTGATGGACGCCTGGTATTTTGTTTAAAAAAGGTCAATATGTTTTCAATCATTTATTATGATAAATAATCGATTTTTTTCAGTTATCAAATAATAATCCATCATTCAATACTTAGTAATTTCCATCAGTTTACTATATGCACCGAGGATCACATAACTTCTTCCATGAATATTCTGTTGATCAGCCAATATATATATACTAAATGAAAACAAGAATCAGAGTGGTCCTTGAGTATTTTAACTCTGATATAACACATGTTCACTCATCTGTAGATGGTATTGGGAGGCAATGAAGACAATCCCAGAATGCACACAAATGTCAATATTGATTCGTGTTTCATTTTTAGACAATTTCTTCTCATGCTTAAATAATCTGATTGTGTTCATTTCTATTTAAATGTTTGCTTGGTTTTTTACAGACTCTCGTATTAAATGGAACTTATAAAGATCCTAACTTGACCATTCAAGAAGTACTTGATATATGCAAGGTAAGTGATGATCTATACAACTTATAAATTACTTCATAAACGTCACAAAATCATATTATCAAAACAGATTGATTATATAATTCATATATATGATGGATTAAAAGGCAGAACAGGACATATTTTCACCGATTAAAATGTTTAGTCTCGTGAACGGCAAAGAATGAATTCCCGAGAAAACCGTTACTTAAGTGAATTAGCTGTTTACTTGTAAATCCGAACTTAGATGAGTAGAAAAAATGCTCGTCATGAAAACATGTTACAGATGAACATGTTAGAGGGCATTGAGGTAGACAAGTCGAAATTTCGAAGACTAATCTAAAACGTTAATGGTAATATTGACTGTGAATTATAGCAGTAATTGATAACTAAATATCAAATAAAAAGATATGTTCATCTTATTTACGTATCCTCACATAGAAGTACTAGTATTTCAGTGTGCATATATCATAAAATAAGCTTTAATGACTATTACTTTATGCTTCAGTCTTACTTTAATTCTCGTCAGCTCTCGTTAATTTCACTGCATTTTTATTATGCTCATGAATTATATTTTAACTTCGAGCTACAAAAAGTACGAGTTAATACACAACAAATACATGTTGATTAAAGTCATCATTAAGGCTCATATGCCAAGTAGCTACAATTTTTGTATAATGTTCTTAGTTTCATGTCATTTCTGTACACAACATGTATATAACTAACTGTGTATTCTAAGGATTAGATTGTCACTGAAACTGAACAGTGAAATGTAGTTTGAGACTTCCGATGTTAACGTTTACAACAGCTGATGATAAACTACAAGTATATATTTATTATAGGTAAGTGATTAATATTTAACTACGTAAATCATGTTATTACAATATATTACATAGCTTTCAGGGAAATACAAAGTATACATACAATTTCTGACTATTTTCTTATTTATTTGTAGACAAACACAAAATCTATGGATGAGACACAAAGAAAACCACCTGTGGAAATATGTCTTGCATCAAACAACTTACTTTATGTAATGGAAAAATTAGTTAAAACAGGGGTAAGTTGTTAAAAAAAACTGACTGATAGTAGATCATTTCGGTATAATATTATGAAAAAATAATTAATTATCTATAATAAGAAAAATACAAATGTGAAAACAAGTAGTATATAAGGGTGAAATTGTATTATGTGTATTTGTGTATATTGATCCATCTCAACATTATTGATTTTAAGTAGTAACAATTTCTGATCTAAAATTCTACCCAATTAATAACACATAAATTAACAGGATTACTTAGTATTGATTATCTAACAAATAGTTTTCACAATGCGATTACCACTTGTCCAATTACTATATTTTATTTATGATTGTTTTATAAGGTTTTCTAAAAACAAAAATTATGATGACATAATTTGCGTGTATTTTAGATTAACTGAACTCGTGATCATATAGAGAGAGATAAAGAGAGAAAGTCATATCTACTTGATAAACTTTATTCATTTTAATATACATTTAAGAAAATAAGGTTTATCAATAAATGATAATATCGATCGGTTCATGATCTCATTCAAAAACCTAATAATCTCCACAACCCCTATACTAGTAATCAACATGCACTCACTAGTGACTAGCTTCGTGAGGGAATTCTCGGAGTTTTATTGGGAAGCCATGACCAGTGGAGCTAGTCCGTGTCGGGTAGAGACAGGTATCTACCTCAGTACAACGGAGGTTGGTCGCGCTATTTCGTGGATTAGTTGAAGTTAGACATTGGTCCAGTAGGTTAAGCGATCGCGCGCAAGACTAAAGACCCTGAGTTCGAACCCCGCGTGCGAGATCGTGAATGCGCACTGTTGGGGAGTCCCACAATAAGATGAAACGGCCGTCCAGTGCTTCCAGGTCTCCAAAGGTGGTGGTCTAACATCAATCAATTCATGATCTCAATCAAAAACTTAATAATCTCCACAACCCCTATGCTAGTAACAAACAAATAAACAAACTATAATGAAGATGGATTGTTCTGAAGTAAATCATTGATGTATAAAAGAAAATTGTTACATGAATTAGGGATGATCTTTTTTATATGTGTAGATATGTGTATATAATTTAGTTAACTTCAATTATTTGTCGGAGAATGGGAAATGAGTTTTAAAAAAATTATTTTTTGTCAATTTTTCTTATCATTAAACATTGTAAAAGTCTTTAAGAATTTCATTCAACCAGATCCTTTGATAAATTTAAACTAAGTAAGAACAATAAAGTTTTTAAAATAAAATAAATTCATTCTGTAGTGAATGGGAACATCAGTGAGGGCAATCGAATGTACTTGGACTGAAAATTACAGAATATCTTAGTGACATCTGAGAATCATATAGTAAATACTTCATTTGTAAAATATCAGTCAGTCGTCTCACACTTCATTGTTCTTTCGTTTCCACACTAATCATTCTCTGTTCTCATTCTCTTCTTTTCGATCTTTCTTGACCTTCTGCCTCCAGGCATTTCACTTTCGATTGATGGTACATACTACTTATATCTGTCGATATCACTAACACACATCACAATTCTATTTCACAGCTTCTCATTAGCTATATACAGTCTAAAATTACAATTATTAGTGTAATTATAAACAAATGGTTAATATACATTAATTGCACATTCATCTTAATTGCGTGTTGTATTTATAAAATTTTTATCTTATTTTCCTGATTATGATGAATATTGTTATTTTTCAAACATTCGTCTACAAACTCACAGACTAATTTCTATGAAACATTTGTTTATAATTATTTTAATCACTGTAATAGTAAACCGTATGGAGCTGATAAGAAGTTATGAATTAGCATGAATTCATTTCAATCTATAAACATTCTTAACTTTTGTTCGATAGAACAATGAAAAGATCGAGTTGATCTGAAAAATGTAATGTATTTACGCTATACATTTCGAACAATCTGGTATAATGCAAATACATCACTTTTTTTCAAATCAAATCCATTTTCTCATTGTTCTATCGAAATTTCTAAAAGGGACTAATTGTTTTAACTTTTCTTTTTTGAAAGATTATAAATCCGTCTAAGATTATAAATATTATCAAATTTTAAGTTGAGTTAAATTGTTTAAGTTATTTGATTTACAGATTGAAATCATGAGTCAGTTGAAGCTAGACCACCATGGAAAACCTGGAAGCACTGGACGGTCGTTTCGTCGTAGTATGAGACTCTACAGCAGTGCGCATCCATGATCCTGTCCCCCGCGAGATTCGAACCCAGAACCTACCAGTCTCGCGCGCGAGTGCTTAACCACTAGACCACTGAACCGGCATCCAATGTCTAATTTCAACTAATCCAGGAAGTCTCGCTTGGAGCGAAACTGATAGGTATTCGGTTCGAATCCCGCGGAGTGCGGGATCGTGGATGAGCACTGCTGAAGAGTCCCATACTAGGACGAAATGGCCGTCCAGTGTTTTCAAATTTTCCATGGTGGTCTAGCTTCAATTGATTCATGATTTCAATCTGTGTAATTTTATTTTGTCAAGTCTATATAATAGTTTTATTCAACTTTCGTAGAATCCTATTTGATTTCATGATTTTCATCACATAATCAAACTTATTTTTATTTATTTTACACATCACTTGAATGTATTATGAAAAGCGATGAACATCTATTGCTTAATTTAATAATTGAATTCATGAATCAATCGAAGCTAGATCATCATTGAAAAACCTTGAAACACTTGACTACCATTTCATTCTAGTATAAGACTAGTATAGTGGTCTAGCTTCAAATGACTTATGAAATCAATTATTAAATTACTACATTCCCCACAATACCCTTCTACATATTTTTGAATAAGTAAGAATACAGCTAACATATTAGTGATATTATTTGGTATGGAGATGACGATAAATTTCAGCTTTTAAATACTTCCTATCAATTTGTTGCTTATTTTTATTTTATATTTTAGTACCGTAGTCTTGTAATTGTGAATAATACAAATGATTATCGTGTAGATGGTATAATTAGTTTATCTGATGTATTACGTTTTACTGTCTTACAACAATTACGTATAACTTCATCAAGATCACAACCACCATCTGTAGCTGAAGTTGTTGATGAACGTGATGAATTGAATCAAGATGGAAAACAAAAGAAAAAGAAAAAATTAAAAAAAGAAAAATCATTTGACACTAATAATTTACTATCAACTTGTTCGTCAGAAACAATTATAAAGAGTAACAATAATAATAATAATAATAATAATAATAATAATAATAATAATAAAGGCTCGATTCCATCACATGATACACCAATCATATGTACATTAAATTCTACTCATTCTAATACTACAGTAAACACTATTATAACAACGAATACTACTAAAACTCCTATAACTATAACAACAGTCACTGGAGGTGTTGGATCTAGCCCTGAGCATATAAATACTTCATCTAGTCATACTATTATTGATAATGTGAAAATAAACAAATCTATTAAATCTTCTAAATTATCTAAAAATCGATTGGATAAATCAAAAATTAATTCATTAAAATCTGACAATACCAATACTTCGATCAATATTGATTTAACAACAAATAATAAAAGTAATAATAATAATTTATGCTCTGATCAAATAATTCTATCAACAGTTGTATCAGAAAAAATTACTTAAATCATTTAATAATCAATATTTTCTCCCTGATTGTTTACTGATAATAATCAGATGATGAAAAATTGAATTAAAGGAAGTATTCGCATTTCTTATCATCATCATTCTAAACATTAACATAATAGATAGCCAATACATAGATACATACATACAGTATACATTCTGAATGAAAAAATGATCAAGGTCCAATGTAATCAAAGCTTTTTGTTATATAATTCTGTATATATTCATATCATAGTAATCTAAAACAAACAAACAAAAAGACATGTTTATAACAAGAAATTACCTTCTCTTCTTTTATAATCTTATTCATCGGCTTTATTTCTTTATTATACAAAAACAAACAAAAAAATAGTAACAAATTAACTAAGTGGAAAAATCTATTTTATCTTTCAAAAAATAACACATTTTTATTATCAGGGATAATATTGATCTAAATACACCTATAAGAGATTGGGATTGTTGAGTATAACAATCAATTTTATTCAATATGTTTATTACTAAAATACTGATAATAGTTGGATATCATCAGCATTGTTATTGAAAATAATCTACTCAAGTCTTTCATGATTATGATCTGTTCAATGTGAGTGTGTGTGTGTGTGTGTATGTGTATGCCTACTTCTTTCTATCATTATTTTGCACACAATTAATGTCAATGCAAAAAAATGAAAGGAAATAAACAATCCATATACAAGTAGCATAGTGTTTAGGTTGTTGCAAGAAGCAGATAGAGATAGATAGTCAGATAGAGATGAGGAGAAGAGAAAATATTTCTATAGATAAGTGAAAAAAATTGTACAACTTACTATATTTTCTATTTTATCGATTGTTTTTCTTTTCTCATTGCTTTGCGTTCGTTTGTTTTTTTTTTCATCCCATCTACTATGCAATTTCTTTGTTGTTCTCTCAAAAATTCACGTCATCATTATTATCGCTTAACTTTTGCCTTCATTACTTGATCGTAATTCTTTACTATTGTAGATGTTGTAATCGTTATAATTGTTACTCTAATAATAATTATTATTGTTTTGAGGTTCTTTCAAATTCAGAAATCTTAAATCCTATGGTTCTTCAAAACAAGAGTTGTGTAATTTGTTTTTTTTATCTGATTGTTCTTTCTGATTATTATTTTATTTTTTCGAAAAGGCTTTATTTCTTCAAATATATTTAATTCTGCATTGGGCATTTATAGTCGTGTATACGAGAACTAACAAATTTCAGTCAGTCTGTCTGTCAGTAACAACGTAGAACTTCGTACGTACGTACATCAGTTCTAGTTGCTATACCACATTAGCACACAGATACAATTGTCGATTCGAATCCCGTAATGGTGGAGATAGTAAAAGTATAAGCAGTAATCGGAAACATTAGGGTTTGAAGATGTTATTCAAGGAGTATAATTCAGTGAAGTAAATTTGGAAAGAGGAACAAAGGAACATGAAGAATTCAGAAGATTAGAATTTAGGAGAACATAAAGATTGAATGCACCTGCGCCATTGCAAACGATTTCGGATTCATAGATAGATGCAACTATCTTTAGACAATTACAAATATGTTAAAATATGACAATAATATAGTATATTAAAAACTGACTTCTACGACATAGCAATTCAAGACTAAGGATATAAGATTTATAAATGAAAAATAACGTTAAATATTAATTGAACAACAAATCTTTTTATTTATTCAGATGATCAGTAACTTCCTGTTCCGGTGTTAAAAAATGATTTCCCTATTCAGGGATAACAAATTAATGAATCGAAGTGAATTTATTCAATGTTCTGAAGTCATTGATAGGGATAACTAGACAAATTGTAAAAATGAACTTTTATTAATAAAAAAAAAGGATCAACGTATATCTTACCATTTCTGTCATCAGTAATTTTGTCGAATTCTGATGATCTGAAAATGTTTGAATATGAGATTGGTGAATTTGTTACTTAAATGTAAACAATAACATTATAGAGATACTTAACTTACTACTGACTAAGTTGTTTCAGTAAGATTTTCCAAATTTTTGGTTAGACACAAAAATTATTGCAGATTACTCAATTCATATATTTTATGTCGATTTGTTATAACATTAAGTCAACATCATATTCTTTATCGAAATGTTCGTGAAGAAAATTCAGTATGATACTTCCTCAGATACCAAATAATTCAGAGGTAAATTGATGAGTTGATGTATATTTACTTGTAATTAAGAATTCAAAATACGACTCATATTTACAGTCTGATTATAGATAAATTGTGGTGCTGAACAAATGAAGTTGCTATAAGTCTACCTACATCATCTCTTATTCTATACACTATTCATAAATTGGGACATATAGGAAAATGTCTCTTTCAAAGAAATTCTTTTCAACTAAACGTATTCAAATGTCTAAAACATTTTTTAGCCAACTAACAATCATAAAATTTACTGTAGCTTGAATTTCATTAAATCGGACTGAGTGTTGTTATTTGTAGTAATTATTTGGAAATAGATGAAAGGAGCATAAAACAACTTTTACGGAACAATTGTTATGAGAAAACCAATATTTATGGATGAATTATCATAAGGAAAGAATAGTGGAAACAAAAAAAGTTCAACATATCTGCCTCTACTGTAACATAATACAGATGATATCTTGAAAAAGAAGTATAGAAGGTACTTGATTCCAAGAGTATTAATATTTGTTTTATAACACCAGATTTAATCTGTAGAATTTGTAGTTAATATCCATGTTGTTGTTACACAGACAATACAGATGTATGGATCATTCAGCGAAAAATAAATTTGAACTGAAACAATAATTTTGATAAAGTGATTAGCTATCTCTATTTACTCATCTCTAATCAGAACGTAATACTGACAACAACAACAGCAGCATCAGGCCTTCCAGATACATGAAGCGTGAACTGATATGGTTCATTATTTTGATATGGAGAGGTCAAATGAATGACACTACTCGGATCCTGTATGCCTCTTCCCGGCTGCCCACACCGTAGAAGGGTATTTCTTGAGGAACCTGAAAAGGAAGTTGAATTAGTAGTGGTTTTAACGACCTGGGAGTGTGATCGCAGAGCCCAAGGCACAACTGCTTGAGGCTAGTCACGTACATCCTTTTTGTGGAAAGCTTTCAACGTGTTAGTTCCGTTCTTCAAAGGGCCTTACCGCCGGAGACGGAAATCCGTGAGGTAAGGTGAGGTGTTACATTTTTAGGGTCGACGTTTTATAATCACGCCCTTCCTTTGTGGGAAAGTAGCATCGCTGCAGATGCTGGTTGTCCGAGGGAAGCACCTTACTGCGGTCACACCCCTCTACAGTCAGCAGTACGATTTCGCCCTCAGACTTTGAGTTGCTGCTTTTAATCTTACCGTTCTTCAACCGACCTGACTGGCATGGTGGGACCATGAGGAACAATTGTTCCAGCCGATATAGCTCGGTTGGATCATCACGGTAGGCAAGCTCGATCACCACATCAGGGTAGCAGCTACGGTAGAGACAACCCTGATACATATACTTATGTTCAAATTTCACACAAACTTTAGTCATATATATATTTGCATCATGAATTGATCTTATATCAACCATAGTTGAAAACCCAGGAAGCTCTACACAGTTGATATGTCCTAGAGTAGTGAACCAACTTACACTAATAATGTACATAAATGTTAGATAGGAAAAAATCATCAAAAGAGTACAAGTATTTCTAAAGAATTGTCTACGCAAAATGCTCATTGTCAGTTGACCGGATACCATCAGCAACAGCCTACTATGGGAGAGAACAAACCAGCATCTAACTGAAGGAGAAGTTAGAAAAGGCGTTAGAGGTGGATAGGACATACATTATGAAAATCACTTAACTGCATCACGACGTAAGTGTTAACTTGCCCTAAAAATCATTTCCAAAAGCTTTACGTTTATACCGAATAGAATAATGTATGATAAATTAAAAAGTATTTGATATTTCATATATGCTGAACTTTGAATATATTTCACTACTTAAATTTATTAAACATATTGAAGAATATGCTCAATAGCTTATATAAATTCTACTATATAGACTGGTAAACTCATTTGTGCATGATAATAAATTGAAATTATCTAGAGAGTTTAATGTTTTTGGGTCACTCAATGTTTAACAGTTAAACAGTATATAGTACTTACTAAATGACCAAAAGATTGATTATACTTTGCAGTCATTTATTAAAGTTGAATTATTAATTACAAATTCTTGTTTGTTGATCATACCAGTCATTATCCTTTTCCTACATTATTTATGTAATTGATAATAAGTTGTAATTATCACCTATTATTTTCATTTTCGTCAGCAAAATAAAAATAAAAACCGCCTTTTAGATGATGGTTGGGGGTAGTCAACAGGAAAACCTGGACCCGGGTTTCGTGCTACTTGGCACTCGTCAGCAAGGTGTACCTGTAATCTTGGGGAAACTGGTGTTCCCTGGCGGACTCGATCCCGTGTCACCCAGCTTCACAGTCAGAGACGTTACGACTGAGCTATCCGGGCCGTGACTGACCTCCTGTAGGACTGAGATGTAATCACAATTGATTGATCACTGGGTGGTGATTACAGGTACACCTTGATGACGAGTGCCAAGTAGCACGAAACCCGGGTCCAGGGTTTCCTGTTGACTACCTTCAACCACCATTTAAATCTCAATATATAGTGCCCGCAGTGTCGAGTCACCTAGACTGGTGGCCACATTGCAACATGATCGATAGCATTCGATCTGCCCTAATAAGGACTAGACAAGCATGACATTGATCACCACCCAGTGATCAATCAATTGTGATAATAACCGCCTTCCATATTTTTCACCTAGAAACTACTTTACCTATCTACATATTCATATTATCCTCTAGATTATCACATAATATTGTTACGATGAAAGTTTTCAAACACTGTTAATGACGCAACTTATTATACAATAAACCGTTCTATGTGTTAATGAATTTAAATATGAAGGTAAGAAGTAGGCGATGATATCAGAAAATATTTCATTTTATGAAACTACGCTTCTTGTTATGTTTTTTTCTCAATGATGCTATGGATTTCTCTCGTCATATTCCCTTCGTATTTGTTAGAAGAATAAAAATGACAAAAAAACCTTTGCAATAACTTATTTGTAATATTCCAAGGGGTGGAAAAGTGAATTTCTGACGTTTCATAGCTTGGTGACGATTGCTTCTTCAGAGTAAAAATACGTAAACTGAAAAAACTGAAAATTAAAAGTAAAAAAGAAAGTCTAATATTTAAACAAAGAATATTCCTTTCAATAAATTCTCTTCAGGTTCTACAATTATATATCCAAATTATTAATCCGAAAAATGGCCAGGTTAAGGGCAAAGTACATCGTTTAAAGTTAAAGCATGTGAATTTAAGATTGTGAAAAAAAATACAATAGAACTGTTAATGTCGATATGATTCATATAAAATGTTAACTTGAATCTGCATATATTACTTACTTAATTACTTACGCCTATTACTCCCAATGGAGCATAGGCCGCCGACCAGCATTCTCCAACTCACTCTGTCCTCGGCCTACTTTTCTAGTTCCATTCAATTCTTGTTCATTTTTCTCATGTCTATCTCCATTTCCTGGCGTAATGTGTTCTTTGGTCTTCCTCTTTTCCTTTGGCCTTAAGGATTCCATATGAGGGCTTGTCTTGTGACGCAGTTGGGTGCTTTCCTCAATGTGTGTCCTATCCACTTCCATCGCTTCTTTCTGATTTCTTCCTCCGCTGGGATCTAGTTTGTTCTCTCAGTCAGTCAGCCAGTCAGTAACAACGTAGAACTTCGTACGTACGTCCCTACATCAGTTCGAGTTGCCATACCACGTTAGCACACAGATACAATTGTCGATTCAAACTCCGTAATGGTAGAGGTAATAAGAGTATAAGCAGTGATCGGGAAGATTAGTGTTTGGAAATGCTATTTAAAAAGTATAATCCAGTGAAATAAATTTGGGATGAGAAAAAAAAGAGACAAGGAGGAATAAGGAGATCAAAATTTGGGAGAACACGAAGAGTGTATGTACCTGCGCCATTGCAAGCGATTTTGAGTCATGTCATTCAAGGTCTCTAACCATCGGTTGCTATCATCTCGTGGTCCCCAACCAGGTAGTCTACACCTACCAACTTGGCTCAGTCCACTTGTCAGTGACTTCATGGACTTGTG